CACACACACACACACACACACACACACACACACACACACACACACAGAGGCTATTTTTATTTGTCGATTGGACGAAGCATGTTCCTCTTATAAGTCATTCGAAATTTAATTATATATATATAGTCCACCTGTAACATTCTGGAACTAAAAATACTATACTAAAGACGTATATTAAACGTGTCTAATGTATAAAAAAGTACATAATATCAAAAACGTGTATTTTATACATATATAGTACACGTTTAATATTATATATAATACACATATTTATAACGTATATATATATAAACAAAATAACATATAATATTTGTTTTATATATACAATAAAATCTCTGTTTCCTTGTTTCTGGCTTTCTCTCTGTCGCCCGTCATCCCGTGGATGCTTGGCGACTGTATGTATCAGTGTAGCAAGATAAGCCCTCTCCCCTCCCCCTCCTCCCATTCCCCACCCTTTGCAACGGGTGCATGGAAATTATGCGACATAATGAAATTCATCGATCGAAAGGCAATTTTGCGCGATGCCGGCGCACACTCGAAGTCGCTGATATTATTTATCGGGGGAGCACGGATATCGCTAATTGCGGCCGATATTTTAAACGGGGCATAAAGCACGCGGTAGATCACGAAAGAGAGAGAGAGAGAGAGAGAGAGAGACGCGCGCTGTCGTGGTTTGTCGTGAAGCGAAATTAGGCACGGCTTCGTTTCGTTCTCTTTTTACCTGTGCCATTGTACCGTTTAATTATTTATAAACGGGCCACTTGAAGTTCTAATTGGGCGGCCAACCACTTGCCTGTATCTTGATGGAGTTCGGTTTGTGCCATTGTTGCCGGGCTGGAAATGTAAGGGAATAATAGCGGATCGTAGACAGGTACTCGAAGACCGCCAGCTCTTCCTATATCAGATTCCGATCTTTCGTTCCGATCGTCGTTTTTGGGGAAGATAAGCGCGTTCAGTGATTGTCAGAAGTTTCTGGCACCGCATCACGGATAAATATTGCTGGAGACGCTTGTTTTGTTTTAAAAAAATATCTCAACTGTGTCAGTTTGTCGCGAAATATATAGGAATGAATATGTTGAGAGAATTCTGCAATTGGATTGTGTTCCATTTTCAGAACGAAGCGCAGTTGCCGAAAAATTTATCACGCGATTGGAGCAATATGCGTGAATATGATGAAGTTTGGTCGAAAACTTTTGTCAATCACTGTACATTGGTGTCTGGCTGATTTTCTTGAAATAACGACGCTGAACGCGAGCAAAACGAGCAAAACCGGCCGACGAGCTCGCTGACGCGAGTTAATCGGCGCGCCGCCGCTGAAAACAATCAGCTGCGGGATCGAGTTAAATATAAAGTAACGTGAACGAGATAATAAACAGGACCGCGTCGGAAATTGCGGCGCATTTTAATGTTTAATTGGCGAACGTGCGCCGATTAAAAACGACCGGGGGATAGGAAGGGATCTTTTCAATCGAGTTAACGAGGGGACGCGATGCGATCGCGACCGATTTCTCCCGTCTCGCCCATCCTGTTTTCTCTATTAATACGTATACTAATGAATTGTATCCATGGTAATTCGCTTTTGTCCTCCGACGGTCGCTGGTCGATCGACTTTCCCCACTCGACGCTGGAAATCAGCAATAACCTCTGTTACCGTCTACCAGTGACAATGAAAAATCATCGACAATATACGCAATATATAACTTTGTAAAAGAAAAAAAAAAAGATTCGCTTGGTCTCGTTTTAAAACGTCAGAACCTTTGCCTCGTGATGGTCGTGAGTTTTTTTTGGTTTTTCTAAAGTAAGCGAGGATACATTTTTTGATCGAAAATTGCAAGAAAATTGTAAAGAATTCTTCTTGTGACTAGATCTACCATTCTTTTGTAACTAAATCATTTTGAAGATTGAAATCTGCTCTTTGCAGTGTCTCCTCAGAATTTGTCGTATAATTTTTCTTTTTCATCATTCTGTTGAACATTGAATATCGAGATTAAAACGATAAAACTTCAAGAAATTCTAACATTTCATCATTCGACCTTGATGTTCCAAGTTTAAAATGCTAAAAAGAATTATACACGCAGCAAGTTTCAAGAACTCGTTGCAAAGAGAAAATTTAAAATAAAAAGTCTGACTGGATTCAGTCGCGAAAGAATTTTTCAATGTTTTCACATACGTCTGGATTTTTACAATTTTTCGAGGAAAAAGGCATCCTCGCTTTCCCATTCGCTACACGATGTAAAATCATTGTCGAAAAGAACGAGCTCACGATTGTCAAAATAAAAGTTTCAAGCTTTAAAATAAGACCAAATGGACCATTATATGATCTTTTCTTTATATAAAGTTGCATTAATTCAAATTATCAACAATTTTTCTCTTTGTTATTTGTACATAGTTTCTACATAGTACATAGATCTTAATCGAAAGAAGAATATTTAATGTTTCGATTAAATTTAAATAGCCAATTTTCTAAAAATGAATAACCCTTTCAAGTTACTCTTCAATGCATCGTATTTCTAACAACGAGAGATTACGCTCTCACAGATTGAATATCGTTAAAAATATAAACTTGTCAAATTGTACATCGTTACTCTAATCGTAGCGACATCGCGTGGCTCGTCCGGGCGCCGGTAACTTAGACTGACTTAGAAATAGTTATGCCTTCGTAAAACTAGTTATACACGTTTCCTCAAGATCGAGTAGTTGGAATTGGAAGCTCGGAACCTGTGGTGGTTCGATTAAAATTTAAGCGGATCTACCGGTTCCGCGCAATTCGTACGGTTCGATGTGTTTGCGCGAGTACACTGTTGATTAACGAGATCAAAGATATCGCGTCGTGATGTAAATGACGTAGTTACACGTACAAGATTTATGTACATATTGATAGCTTCCAGTTTATTTTTCCCGCAATTAGCTCTTCTGTAAACTAGAATCTAATCAACATAAATTATCAAGATTATACCCTGCGCGCAGCCGTGCGCTTTTACACGATCGGTTCGATCGAGTTTTCAGAATTTTTGTGACCTACGCGAGTAAAAATGCTAAATGAAATCACTAGATGGATCGTTTATTCTTTTGCATGTATACTGATCGTAAATATTAGTACGCTCGTTAGAATATTACGCTTGTTAGAATATTGTAATGAATTATATTAATTTATCTAGTACATTACATTATAAACGTGCAGTATTATCAGGTTCTAGCTAATATCAAGTTCCAGTCATATGAATCTGTGGTGGAAATCTAGTATACTTGGTTCTAATTAATTAATATACGTAAATGTCATTTTTACAGACATTATATACAATGCAAAGGAAATGAAGCTTGCGGTAAAATAACAAAGGCATATTTATATTATCTAAGTCTGTTTAGTTTAATAATTGTAATTTAAAATGTTTCTAAATTACTAAAATTTAGAGTATCAAACGTATTGTACGTTTTCGATGATAAGAATGAAATGAAATTAAAAGTTCCAAATTCAACCCTAAATTGTTCCCCCATTATCCTCGATTGAAAGCCAACTATTAAACACACTGTATTAAATAACATATCCTAATATTTGTCGGTAGCGATGTGTCGTCGCCAATCATTCCTTCACGCGTTGACAATGCCGTGGCAATGTCCACCATGGAAAACCACATATTACCCGCGTACCGATGGCAATTTGTACAGTTGATTTTCCAAGTCAACGAGCAATCAGGAAGCTGACACACAGCTAGCGCCGCATTGTCGCGTGAAGATTGCTTTTTCATTCCGTCGGTC